GAGAGAGAGAGAGAGAGAGAGAGAGAGAGAGAGAGAGAGATGCTCGCGCGCCACTCCCGTGTCCAAATACGCATTTCCATCGCTTAATTTCCCGGCGCTACGCTGCTGCTGAGCGGCCGCGGCGTTCGCGCGCTGGCTCCACGCTGAGGCTGAGGCTGCGGCAGCACTGCGGCAGCACGCGCCTCACTCACACGCGAAGTGGTTCCATGTTTGCGTACCCACTCGGTGGACTCGAAGCCCTTCCCTCCCCGCTCCCCCCTCCGCACTCCCATCACTCTTTCTCTCCCGACGGATGGCTCTGCGGCCCTCTGAATGGTTTTCGGACACCAATCACGCGGTGCTCCAGCCGCACTGTAAAGGAGAGAGTCACCTTTTTTGCCCGAATAGAGCGACGTATGTTTTCATCGCTGTAATCGAGCAATGTTTGCAAAAGTCACTCAAAATTAGTGACATTTGGAACTGAAAACGTCGCAAATGTGACTCTAAACGAGCGACTTTCCAAAATGTCACTCCCCCAGGAGTCACCAAATTTGATGGAAAATGTCGCTCTCCCAAGAGCAACTTAAGTCACTCCCCAACTTTCAGTGCGAGGCTCCAGCAGCGCCCGCACAGCACTTCTGTAAAAGTTCAAACCGATTCAAACGTAGAACAATTTTTCTCTGTTTTTCCATGATTTGGCTCAGGTTCTGTTTTTTTCTGATTTATTTTGGGGTGTGTGCACTGATTATTTTCTTTTTGAGTCAAGTACCTCTCGCGGCTCCACTGCTGTCCGCGCCGCACTATGCCGCTTCTCCTCTGTCTCGTCATATTTTATTCGCTTTGTCCAATAATGTCGTCGAATGTCGTATCGCGGAACAGATTTCTGGTAGAGCGGCGGTGTGGCGCCATCCGCTATGCATTCCCCTCGATTCCCCCGCCCTCCCCCCTCTCCCCCGTTTTATTTCGAAATAAAATCGTCGCGGAAAATCTCGGGGCAGCAACCAGTGTTGGGGCGCCTTCGAGTGTCGCGGCGGGGGCGGGAACACACCCGTTATTGCGAGGCGTGGCGTGGCGTGGCGTGGCGTGGCGTGGCGTGGCGTGGCGTGGCGTGGCGTGGCGTGGCGTGGCGTGGCGTGGCGTGGCGTGGCGTGGCGGGCCTGAGCGTCGCGCCGAGCACACGAGGGTAATTAAAAAAAACGGCACACCGACTTCCTGCGCCAATTACCCCGTCTTTTTCCCTTTTTCTTCACTTATCAGTCGAAATAATAAGATATTTTTTTTCGTGTTCTTTTTTTTTTCGCCCCTTCGACTTAATTAAAGTGTGTTCTGCAGCGAGCTTTTCTCTTCGCGTCCCCTGTATTCTTTCCCCCTTCTTTTCCGGCGTTTGTTTAACCGTTTTCGCTCAGCGCATGCAGAGAGGTGAGAGAGACAGGGCAGAGAAGGCGAGGGAAATTCTTTTATGAATTACTCCATAGTCGGGAAAATAAAACCCTGACGGAAACGAGCGCTCTATCGGTGCTTTTAGCCGCCAGTCATTTGCGCAATGTGCCTACGGCCACCGGTCGCCG